GTGATCTTGATTCTATCCCTCTGTTAATGCAGCCTAGCACTGTGTTGGCCTTTTTGGCAGCTGCAGCACACTGCTGGCTCATATTTAAGTGATTGTCCACTAGGACTCCGAGGTCCCTCTCACAGTTACTACTATTGAGCAAGGTACCCCCTATACTATACCTGTGCATTTGGTTTTTCTTGCCTAAATGTAGAACCTTGTTTTTTTCACCATTGAATTTCATTTTGTTAGATAGCGCCCAGTGTTCAAGTCTGTCCAGATCCTCCTGTATCCTAAGCCTGTCTTCTGGAGTGTTGGCTATTCCTGCCAGCTTGGTGTCGTCTGCAAATTTGATGAGTTCCCCATATATCCTTGTCCAAATCGTTGATATAGATATTGAAGAGCACTGGGCCAAGAACAGAGCCCTGGGGCACCCCACTACACACTTCCCTCCATGTAGATGCGGTTCCATTGAGGACCACACGCTGAGTACGTGTGGATCCATCTGGTGGTGATGCTGTCTACCCCACATTTTTCTATCTTGTCAAGTAGTAGGTTGTGATCTACTTTATCAAATGTGTTACTTAGGAGGCAAGGGCTTGGCAGCACAAGCAAACATCAGCCAATGACTTAATAGCCAGCTATCAACACCCCAATCAACATTTAAAAAGCCACATACAGCAGGCACCATATAAACACTACACACAGAACAGCCCAAATCAGATGCTCTGCTAGCGAGAAGTTCCCTGAAGATGGGCTCCAGCACCAGTCTGAAAGCTCAGAAAACAAAACTTAGGGTCCCGGTGACCGACCCAGATTGGATCCCGAAACATAAACTTAAATTTGTGCAACACAGCAAAGTTCAAATCATTTCACCCCGAGAATTGTTGAGACCCTAAATCCCATCATCATTCTCTTCACAGCCCCAAAGCATCCAAAACCAAGCCATGCACAGGGGAGACCCAGCGCTTCAGGCAGGACACCCTGCCCTCCCAGGGCACTCACCTTGTAATCTACCTCTTTGTGGTTGAGAGCAACATTGATGGTGAAAGTTGAAGAATCGTGATGGGGGCGAAGATAAGGCTGCTCATCCGGACGGTATCGGACCATGAAGTTCATGATTGCGCGAGCCTGAGAAGAGGAGATCAGGGTTAGCACCTTCTGAGTTGAAGGCAGGGTAGAGAATGGCATACCTGGGTAAAACCTGCCTGAAATGGGGCAATCATATTCACTCCAGGTACAACACACCCAAGTTATGGTTCTTGCTACTGGCAGATCCCCAAAAACTGCTGGGTGGGGAGCAAAAAGTCAGTAGATGACAGCACCAGGCTGATACTGAAAAAGTTAAGCAGGTAGCTTTTTGGCAGACAAAGTTGTAAGCTGGACCAGGAAGTGAAAAAAAAAATTCATAAGAAGCCAGTAATAATTGTCATACTCTTCATATGAAAACTTGAAAGTTGCCATGTTCCTTCTGGGAACTGAACATATTCATTTATTCAAAAAAAATTTGTGGCTGACAAAGAGTTAGTGGGAGACTAGTATAGCTATTTCAAGCTCTTTAGTTCTCATCAGCTGATGAGAGCTAAAGAGCTTGAAATAGCTATACTAGTCTCCCACTAACTCTTTGTCAGCCACAATTTTTTTTTGAATTTATAGTGTTCACAGTATGTGACGTCTGCCTGCAAAACATGCTCCTAAATTGGAGCGAAACGCAGAACAGACTGATTTATATTAAGTGGACCGGGTGCTTCACCCAACAGACAAGATATATTCATTTATGTCATGCATACACATACTGTACCTTTAATTCTTAAAGAATCTTTCCAACATTGGTGGACTGTATTGACAGGGGTTTTGGCTTGCAGTTGGGGCTGAATTCAGAGTCTGTAGCACTTTTTCCCCCCATAAACAAATTTTATTAAAAGGCATTTGTATTATCTGATGACACGATGCAGCCCACCAAAGTTTAGGCTTTTTAATAAAATGTGTTCATTCAAAAACAGAGGTTTCCCATAAGATCCCCCCCATACCCAAACCTGGAATAGTTTTGATCTAGTGCATTCTGGGAAATGAAAATAATAGCCAAAGGAAACAGATGTGGCCAATTGTGAAAAGGACACAGAAAAGCTTAGGAGAAGAATCTTAAACCTGATCTTTATGAAATCAGTTGAGTTTATACAACCCAACCGGCACTGATTTAGCCCATTCGGGAAAGAGGATATTGCCCATTACATTTAGCCATAAATAAATCAGAAGTCTTGTGCTCACCCAATGCTACCCTCTCTCAAATAAAGCTGAAAACAAAGTAAAAACTAACTAAACTTTTATGTACGCAAATCTAGCTGCTAGATTTGAATCTGACTGGGATGACTGTACACATAGTCTTCAGGTTACGACTACTCGTTCAGCCGTCAGTCAAACAGGCGATAATCTTGAACGAGAGGAACTTACAACTGGTCCAGCTTTGTAGTGTTCACGTGACTGCAATTTTTGATGTTTCCCTGACAGCTTCTCCTAAGCCAAGTCAATGGGAAAGCCAGCAGGAAGTCAGAAGTTGCAGTCCCGTGAGATCCTCACTTAACAACCCCAGTAATCCTCTTAACATAATGACAACAAGTGGGACTGCCGGAACTGAGTCACTAAGTGACACCGCCACGTGACAAGTGGTGGGGGAAAAGCACACGTGACAAGTGGTGGGGGAAAAGCAACAGCTGGGGCCCCAATTACTTTGTAGAAATTGCAAAAGACATCCTGTAGAACAGAGGTCCCCAACCCCCGGTCCGTGGACCGGCACCAGTCCGCAGCATACCAGAAACCGGTCCGGGCGAACAAGCAAAGCCCAATCCATGGGATGTGTGATGACCCAGGGCCCCGAACGGAGGCAAAGCACTTAGCTGGTCAGAATAATTCTCTTTGTAAGCATTACCAACATTCACCCAACAGCCCCCACATATACTGGCACAAGTTCAATAAAACAGTCAACGGAGTTAAACAGTTCTTTAAAATAAAACAGATAACAAAGTATGATCTTTTCCACGCCCAGCTTGCCTGTAACCTGCAAACTGAGGACAGCAAGGAGAACTCAGCAGGAAACAAACTTGATCCAAAATACAAAGAGTCCAGGTACAAAAGCTCACATCATAAGAGTTCACGTTTGTTCCCAGCAAATGCCCCACCCCACAGCTTCTCCTTAAATACCTACTCCCCAAGTGTGCCTTGTGGAGTGGGGCGTGACGCTCTCCTCCCGAGCAAGTGAGCCTGCCTCCGTTGTTCCCTCCTCCTCTCTGCTCTCCTTGCTCTGGGATCTGGTGGGGAGGGGCCTTGCTCCTTGCCTGAGCTCTGCCTTCCCTTTTCCAAACTTGAAGGGCCCTGGCCTGCTTCTGCCTGTTCCTCCCACCGTCCTCCGGAGCCACAGACACCACCTCCTGGGCCTCAACAGGGAACTCCATGTCGTCCTCAGAGTCAGGCTTGGACGGAGGCATGACAGGATGCAGGCAATACATGAAACCATGCCCCCTCCGGCCCGAGAAAAAATATCTCTCCACAGAACCGGTCCCTGGTACCCAAAAGATTGGGGGCTGCTGCAGTAGGAAGCAGGATCCTCTGCTTTCTGTACCTTCACTCTGCCTTCAGTAACCTTCAGACGTGCAGGGGTTACCTTAGTGTGGTAGCCTGGATAGAACTTTTCTGTGACCGGGGCAATGTAGTCCCTCAAGAACTGCAGCCACTCCTTCTCAAAGCCAATTTGGTTCATGTGAATGTCAACGGTAGGGACGTTCTCGTAGCCACCAACCAGCCGAGTGTCCTAGAGGGGAGATAACCTTGAGAGACAGAAGGAAGAGCCGTAGCCTAGCCGGATAAGGGAAATCTTGAATCCAGAGCAGGAATGGGCGTGGAGACAGTATCTCAGTACTGACCCTCTCCACTTTTCTGGAACGCAAAGGCAGGAGAGGGAGAAAGCCTTTTCAAACTTGGAAGATTTGGTTACTTTCGCCTTACAACAGAAGTAATTGTCATGCTTGACTCACTACGCACCCCCTCCTCGCAAGCAGACAACTGAAATAGGGAGTGGGATAGATTTGGAATGCAAGGGAGGGAATTGTGGAACGCAGGGACCCATTTGTCGCCTGGCAACGTCCTGATGCTCAAGATTGAAAGATCGTTTCCCAAAACAAGCTGACTGCAATTAATTGGTGGACAATGAACAGTGGGTGGCCCAGGAGAGAAAAGGGGATTTTAACTACGCTAATTTGTGCACAGAAGCTTCAGAACTGGCTTCACTTCTTTTGTGCCCATGTGGAATTATCAGTAAAGTTATACTCTTGGTAAAATAGATGTCCCAGGAGTTTCTTTTGCTACATATGACAACGGGATGATTGACAGTAATATTAGTATTCATGATTTTGGTTTGGTTTCCTGGTTTGGACTACCTCAAAGGATGGACAAGGACGTAACATCCAGGAAATGGAAGACCTTTTAAGAAGATGGTTCAGGAACTGGGCCACGCCAGTTTTCTACAAATGATCCACCTTCAAACTTCTTTTTCGTTGGCTTCTTTTTCGTTGGTGTGCCTCACACATTAACGTCATCCAGGGTAAGTACTGGCCCCCCTAGCTTGTAAGCAAGAAATTCCATAAATTATGGAGCCTGTCTTTTCCGTCTCTTCTGACTCATCTTCCAATCTCCATATTGGGGGGGTGGATAAGAGTGAGGGAAGTCAGAGCCCCAGAGAAGGAAATATTAAAAGGGCAGAAAAATATATTTCCTCAAAAGGATTTTTAAAAGCAGAAGCCAACCCTGCCCCCAAATCTCTGTGTCCCAAGCAGGAGCCAGCCCTATATAAATGCAAATGTAAAACCATCAGAAAGTTGGAGCCTGAAACTCAAGAAGAAAAAGAGACATAAAATCTGCATACCCCACCCAAACTCTAAGAGTCATTAGCCCAGCCCCAGGGAAGCAGGATATGATAATAGGATTAAACCACAGATACCAAGGCCTAGAAAAACACACTCAGTTCAAATTTCATGCCACAGGAACAGGAAACTATTCCAAACAAAAGGCTTTCAGAGGGTATAAAAACCTACTCCACATGTGCTCAGCCCTTGATTTGTCTCCTCCTTCCTGCCAGAACCATCTTTCAGTCTGGCTCTTCAATAAACTGTAACCTTCTTCCCAAAGCAGTCGCCATGTTGTTTATTTATTCCCGGCTTGGATGAACCAGGATGAAGACTTGACTTCCCACAAGAGGTGGACTTGGAGGCACCCCGAATCTAGTGTTCCTCATTCCCCATATCATGCTCTATTTAATACACCTCGTCCATCAGATGAAAAGGGCCAAAAATGATGGTGGCCACGACTGTGTGTGTGTGAAGCACAACTCTTGTTTTACATCCAAGACACATAAAAGAGGAATAGTCGCCATCTTGATTTCTTTTGACGTTTTTGTGAACTGCCCTACACCTCAGTTACACCTTGTTTTAACCTTCAGAGTCCCATTTTTTTTTTTGTTCTAAGGTGTTTGAGGTCCCTCATCATTCTGCAAGCCGCCTCTGACCCCTCTTCCCAACTCTCCTCAGCCTTCTTCCAAAGGAAGCAACCTGAATGGTGGTGGTCATCTTGGTGGAGGAAAAGGCTAGGACAGACCCACCTCATGTTTTCCTCCAGACCACTGGCCGAAGTTTTCCGCCTCTTCCACGAGCTCGTCGCACATCTGATCGGTGAACACAGGAAACCAGTAAACATCAGGGCAAGGCTGCCAATGGGAAGAAGAAACGGTGAGCGACGGAAGTTTGAGAGAGCAAAATCAGCAACTCAAGAAGACCAGGGAAAAGAGAGACAGTCACCTGCTCAAAAAACTCCCCCTCAAGAACGCGTGAGTAGTTTTCGTGGATATATTTCTCCTGCCAGTCCTGTCCAAGGAAGGAACAAAATAAGAACAGAGTCATTTAGAATTATCAGATTACCCAGGAAATAAATCTCCTAGCCTAATGTGTGCCAGGCAATCCAGTCCTGGAGTAAAAATTTAATCTCTGCAAAACTTGCCATCATATCTCTGCCTTCCCCAAATAGGGCCCTTTCAGATACTCTGAAACTACAATTCCCAGAATTCTCAGAGGGCCTTGGACACTGTGAGAAGCTCAAGGGACAGCCACCTGGGAGCATCAGGATTTCCCATAATGCTCTGGAAATTGCAAGGGTAGTTCCATCAGCATCCCCCTTTCAGAGAAGTCCTCCCAGATCTAGGCACAGAGGTGTAGGTGTGAGATTGGGAGAAAAGGGCCTCATCCCGTGGCAACTTGGAATTACTGGGACCACTCACCATGGGATTCTCAGAAATCTGCCAGAGCTCAGGATGTAGGTGGGAGATGTTGTATCTACTGGTGGAAAGGAGACGTCCAAAATCATCCCGATTACTAATATGGAGAAAGATGCCCTGAAAAGGACAGGAAGGACCAAATTTAGGCCAAATTTGTATGATCTTGTCTCAAGCGCCCACATGCCAGGAGATACCAAAGATGTTTGAAATAAATATAGATATAGATGATGTAGATATATAGATGATCTATATTTATGTTGTTGTTAGTTGCGAAGGCATGTCCAACCCATCGTGACCCCATGGACAACGTTCCTCCAGGCCTTCCTGTCCTCTACCATCTTCTGGAGTCCATTTAAGCTCACGCCTACTGCCTCAGTGACTCCATCCAGCCACCTCATTCTCTGTCGTCCCCTTCTTCTGTTGCCCTCCATCTTTCCCAGCATTAGGCCCTTCTCCAGTGAGTCCTTCCTTCTCATTAGGTGGCCAAAGTACTTGAGTTTCAACTTCAGGATCTGGCCTTCTAAAGAGCAGTCAGGGTTGATCTCCTCTAGGACTGACCGGTTTGATCGCCTTATCTATATCTGTTTCTACATATCTGTATCTATATCTATATCTACATCTATCTATCTATATGACTATATATCTATCTAGATATAGATATATATATAGATATAGATATATAGAGAGAGACTAAACATAAACGTAAAGGTAAACATAAATATAAATATACACAGACATCTTTCACATATGTCCTGTGCTTGTTCTGCAGAGTTTTAGAATAAGATTCTAGAGCAGCATTTCTCAACTTTGATAACTTTGCGAAGTATGGACTTCAAGGCTGGCTGAGGGATTCTGCGAGTTGGAAATCCAGACATCTTAAAGTTATCAAGGTTAACAAACATCACTCTAGAGCAGTGATGGCGAACCTTTTAGAGACCGAGTGCCCAAACTGCAACCCAAAACCCACTTATTTATTGCCAGGTGCCTGGTGGGCATGGCCCATTGGGTGGCGTGGCTGTGGTGGTCGTGGGAGATTGGGTGGGTATGGCCAAGGTAGGCGTGATCACCTCAATGTTGCTCATGGGGAGGGACACCTGTGGGGGGTGGGCAGAGTTGGGGGAGATCCAGGGAGTCTCTGGCAGGTGGGGCGGTAGGCAGGAGGCTCATCCTGCGGGGTGAGGTGAGGCAGGGTGGGGATGCCATTGCCATGGGGCGAGACAGGGGCCGGGGCGGCTGCTGCCTGACACCGTTGGCCCCCACACACAGAGGCCAACGAGCGCATAGGGGCCAACAGTGTCCGTCAGCAGTCACAGCCTGCCAGCCCCTCCACAAGCATACTCTGGGGCTCGGCAGCTGCCGCCAGCAGTTCAAAGAAGCCACCTCTGAGCTGGATGGCCGGCTGACAGCTGAGGAGGCGATGCAGTGGGTCGTGCCCGGGAAAAGGAGAGCATGCGAGGCCAGGAGGGACTGGGGGGAGGGAAACCAGGCGTGCTGGGATGCATCCAGCCACATAGGACCTCGGCGAGTTAGCAGGCGGCTGGTTGAAGAGGGACAGTTGCCAACTCTGGGGCATGGCGTGTGTGCTCACAGAGAAGGCTCTGAGTGCCGCCTCTGGCACGCATGCCATAGGTTCGCCACCACTGCTCTAGAGTATATTTCGGTCTGGAGGAAATTTCTACTCCTTAAAAATAGGGTCAAAACAGTATCTGCGGAAGGTAAAGGTAAATGGCTTATAAAACTGCCCAAACTACAGGTAGTCCTTGTTTAACAATAGCCGTTGGGAGCAGAGGTTCCACTGCTAAGCAATGCAGTCGTAAAATCAGGTGTCACACGACCACATGGCTTAGTGACGGCAATCCCATCAGTCGCTGTTGCATTTGTTAAGTAAGGATCATGGATTGTTAAAGCAAGGACCTCCTTGCAATTTTCTGCCGGCTCCCAACCAGTTTATTTTATTTATTTATTTATTTTTAAGACTTATATGCCGCCCTTCTCCCCACGGGACTCAGGGCGGCTCACAGCATATTAAAACAACATAGCACATTTCCCCAATAAAAGCCAATTAAAACCAAATATTTGTAGCTGTGTCTCTTATTAAAAATCATTAAAAATTATCCCTATTTAAAATTCACCCTAGGTCAGTCCCGCTT